ATAACCAGGGCGGCCCTCCAAGTAAGGGTTCAAAGATGCTAGGTGCTGGGGCCGAAAAACCATGAATGCAGTCTTTGGACTCCTCAGCTACACATCAAGGACGACCTTCATCTTCAAGAAAGCTAAGATTTTTTTTGTCGTGCTTCATCGTGCTTCACCAGTCCCACCAAATACCCTTCACCACATCGCTCGAGTCGGTTCCCTGCGCCTTCATCACCAGCCCGAACTGGAACTCTCTACCAAGTACTTTAATCAACCCAGCAGGGCCGATAAGAAGTGATGCAGTACTTTTTTTAAGCTCAAACCTAGACGCTTGATGGCTGTGGCCAGCTTCCAAGAAAGGTTCTTCGCATCCTGGAAGCCCATGTTCATGCCTCTTCAGGGTGTCTCAATCTGATGTAGACCCATGATTAATAAACCCCTCCTTTCGAAGATCTTAACATTGTGATCCCTAGAATAAATACTGCCCAAAAAGGGGAGGGGGTTTATTAATCACGGGTTTAGATTGGGATAATCTCGGGTCTCTTTGCGGAGTGACGAAAAGGCTTAGCACACGGCGCGCGCAGGAGCACACGTGTCAAAAGAAGAAGTAGTACTGACAGTGGTGGCAGCGGTCGTGATGACAGCCGCGGTGGGGTGGTGGCAGTGGCAGTGGCAGAGGCGGTAGTGGTAGTAGTAGTAGTAGTAGTAGCGGCTGCACCAGCAGCAGGACGTTGCCGTCGTGCTTGTCATGTTTTGTCGTCTTCGTGCTCCGCTTCCTCCTCATTCTCGCTCTCTTCCTCGTCGTCGTCATGATTGCCGCCCTCCTCCTAGTGAACGTTGTTGCCGTCTCGTTGTCTGCCATAGTAGAAGTACCAGCGAAGGCGGCAGAATACATTTCGTATTCCTAGTAGCGGAATACTTTTTTCATAAAAAGTGTGCATTTTGATTTGTGGAACACTTTTTGCATTAGCTCGCATTATGAGACCTCGAAGTCTTGACTCATGCTGTTGGAATACGGTTTATAATGACGATTTCCAACCGGAGAGAGGGGGGGGGGAAGCGGCAAAAAACATGTTGAACATCTATACCCAATGAAATCCGTACCCCCGCAGTGAACCGATAACAAGCCAACAAGATTGCGAAAATGATATGTCTTTTTTTCACCTTTTGGCACTCGAAGTCGTACTAGGCATACCTTTTCTTTAGTTGAACCCATTGAGGCCCGGTTCCTAAAGGCCCTCGAATACTCAGTTCAGGGAGTGGTGCGGAAATATGAGTAGTGGTAGGAAGAAGGACATGAAGAACCATAGGGGTGGTTGCTATTGTCGCTGTTTTTGTTTATGGTAACAGTGGCAGTAGTTCACTTGTGGCTTTGTCGTTGCTCTTGCTGTGGTGGCTGATGTTGGTGTTGTCGTCGCCGCGGCGACGGCGGCTCCTGCCGCCGTTTCTAGCCAGTTCAACAGCCACCACCACCACGGCCCCGTCGCCACCGCCGTAGACGCAACACCATCATGCTCACGCGAACCACCCTTTCAAGTACTGTTCCCAGCTCCAGATGGATGCTCACCCCGACGCTAGCGACCAACGCCCAGAGGCACAAAAACATCTCTTCTGCTCTACTTAGGTTAACAGCCTAGACATTCCAACTACCCTCTATCTGGGCCTAAGTACCTACTATTAGGCGCCATCTAACCCCAACTAGGGGTACTAGGAGGGTCCTGGAGCAATGATTCAGGCCATTATTGGCCTTTGCTTAGCTAGGAATAAAGGAATGGATCCTTATAGAAGTCCCTATTTAACCGTTGTAGTAGCTTCCATTTTGTTTTCCATTCCTCCATTCCCACCCTAAACCCTAAACCGTAAACCAGTTATAGTAGCTTCCATTTTTTGTTCCATTCCTCCATTCCCAGCTAACCAAAGGCCAAACCCTAAACCCCTAAACCCTACACCCAGCCCCACAAAGCCATGAGGGTTCCAGGAGACTTAGGCCGAAAGTCCTTTGCCTTGGCCACCGAAGGGCGAGTGGCAGTGGCACGCGTCACCCGCCAGAAAGACCCGGCCCCGGCCATAGCATTCCACCTTTTGGGGACTGGGCCTTTAGGATTTAAGGTTTAGGGCTTAGGGTTGGGGTATAGGTTTTAGGGCTTCTGTATATTTTAGGGTTTCGGCCTGAGGGTTTAGCATTCTGCTTGTTGGCATCATTGTCCATGCTCGCACTTCAGTGCAAAAGACGTTCAGAGGGTGTCAGTTCATCTGCATGTTGGCAAGATGCATGCAGAATCTTGGGAATACTACAGTGCTTGCGACCACTACACCGCGCCAAACATGCAGGGCTCAAAACTCGATCACTGCGTGGTGGTTTTTGAAGGCATACCATTTCTGGGTGTCCTTATAAGAAGGTTTATAATATTTCGGGGTCTAATATTGTTGTTTGGGTCTCACTTGTCATGGGAAACTACCATGTCACTATAGAACCCTACGGGTCCAAACACCTGATAATCATATACTTACCCAAAGCCTGTACTATACCATAATTCTTATTACCCAAAACCCAAGTACCTAATCATTGGGTACTTGGACCCCTTAACCCTAAACCCCATAAACCCTCATATACCCCTACATCTCCCTTTAAAGGGAGCTAATTTTCGGGATCCTCTGGGGAGGGAGACGAGGAAGTTGCCTGGCGCGAGTTGACGCGGAAGTGGGTCAACCACTTCACCGAGCCAGGCTTTACCTGGGCTTGGGTTTAGAGGGTTTAGGATGAAGGGTTTAGGATTTGGGCTATAGGGTTTAGGTTTTAGGTTTACAGGGTTCAGGATCTAGGGTCTAGGGTTTAAGGTATAGGGTAGGTCTATCCCCCCTACAGTAGTAATAGCCCTTGAATATGGAATTACTAGGGCCTTAATATGCCTACACGAGTCCTTTACGGTACCCATTGCTGGGTGCGGAATTAACCCACTCATTTTCCCATGAGCGCAACGTTTACGGATGCTAAGCATGCAACAACAGGCCCTTGGTCTTTGGTCCATTCCAGAACCCTGGCAAGAAAGGTTTGAGCCACTTTTTGTGTCAGAACGTTTCCAGGGGACACGGAAATTGGAATATGTGCAAGGGTATATGGGTTCAGGGTTTAGGTCCAAGTACCCAATAATACATCTCTTCCTGCTTGGCCAACTCAGCAAATCACGTAGGAAGAGATTCTCCCATTCAGTACAGCCCCCTGGCCCCGGCAACGTTGATGAAAAACCCTGAACCCCAAGCCCTAAACCTTTAAAACCCTGACCCCCAAAACCTTAAGCCCCTGAACCCTAAAGCCCTAAACAATCCTAAACCCCACAACCCTCTTCTAAACTCAGGAAAGTCACTGAGAGTTGCTGCCCCAAACCTCGAGATCGTGCCACCTTGAGCACGTCCTCCACCTCCACATCTAGTCATAGAGGATTCTGTAGGGGTCTTAAAGGGATATAGTCAGAGATTGTTTGCTTCAGGATTATAAAGAGCTTAGGGGATACTGTCCCCAACATTGGAAACTGAAAAAGAAAATGGAGAACGACATGGAAACTGCGATGACCAAGTAGGTAGGCATGCTGCGAAACACTAGTGCTATCTCTCATAACAGCCATGCAGGGATAACCTGATTATGACTTGAGTGCTTCCCTGCCTGGAGTCAGACATGCGGTCTGGCCATCACCCTCCCCTGAAAAGGATTCCTGCCGAATGAATAGTGCAGTATAGAGGTATATCGAAGACAATGGTTCGCTGCTCCCAGTGTTTGACCCACGTGAGTTGTCCTTGAGCAGGTTTTTGATCTTAAAAAGGATGTCGAATGTCGCTAGCTCTGAGCGTCCTAGGAAAACCCTACGGGTGTTTGCCTCCGGCTGGCGCAGTACCGGAAAGCCGTTGCGGTCCGTTTCGCCTGTGCGCACGGAGCACGAGGTACCTTGAAAATGCTGATCCAGAACTCTCAACCCTGAGGCTACACAAACGCACTGCTTGCCAAAACTTCGATTCTTGTGCGGGATCATGTGGGATTCCTTAAAGTCATGAATGGGGGCCACCACCC